AGTGACTAAATAGGTAAACAACGTTTGTCTAGTACTATAGAAGATTCGTTGATATTTGAAAACTCTTTGAGTTTATCGTCAAACGAAGCTACGGGCCGAGTTCAGTATATATTTGTTTGCTATTAAGTACAAAACTACACAATGGGTTATCTGTGCTGAGAGCTCAAAAAAGCATTCACCACGTATAATACATTACGTATATGTATATTCAAAATAAACATAACTGATAGACTTTAATAAAAACTAAAGGAACATTTAATAACATTTACAATTTTAATTCAGTTATTTGTTTGCTGTTTATTGACATCAGCTTTATGTTTTTATCCAAAGCACTGGGTGCCGCCACTAGTCTACATATCTGTGCACAAAATAATTATATATCTAAATTTGCAAAATTAAGCATCGAAGTTTTCTTTAGTTTGAAGTGTTTCAAGTATCTTGTGAGCGATACAATTATTTTGTGTTGTAATCTTCATGAGTTGAGAATAGGATGACTAAGTCGTATCAGGTACTAAGTGCTACATGGTTGTCAAACTATTTGTTGTATCTTATATTTCCTATATCAAGAAACAATTCTCAAGCATATTGTTCTATGTTCTCTAATATCTCTGTTAGAAATCTAATACATTTTAAAAATAAAATAAGTAACTTGAATATCTACGAAGATATACAAACCTTTTACCAAAGTCGTCCCCCAGTGCGACAGCGGTAAGTCTATGGAATTATAACGCTAAAATGTGGGGTTCGATTCCTCGCGATTAACGTAGTACAAATAGAATATTTTTTAGAATATTTAAGCGATCTTTGATATGAAAATAGTAACTATGAAAATGAATGGTGTTGAGTCTTTCCTATTACTTGATTGGTGCGGCCACAGAGATACGTTGATTGAGTTCCAACTTGATTTATGTTTTCATTTTGCCCTTAATTAAATAAAAGTAGGCCAGGGTGAAGCTAACTGTTAGTTAACCCACAAGCCTCTAAACCTTGACAAAAAAAGCACATTTCTGGAAAAAGTATGTCAGATTGAAGCTGTCTGTTAGTTACATGCGTCTAAACTTTGATAAACCTAGTATACGATGAAGTTGTCTGTTAGTTAACCTACAAGCTTCTAAATCTTGACAAAACAAGCATATTTCTGGAGAAAGTAGTCCAGGGTGAAGCTGTCTGTTAGTTAACCCACAAGCTTCTAAACCTTGACAAACCTAGAATATTTCTGGAGAATTGCTTCGCAATCATAAATGTTTCTATCTTGTGATGCCCTGTTTCATTTTTTAGTACTTATTGGAAATTTAAAAAAATATTTCAACTTGCTCTTGACATCCTGCATTAGTGGACATCATTATAACATACTGTTTTGATATATTTGACAAGGAAATTCGGGTATTACCCTAACCTTTTGAAAGAACTTCAGTCTCTCTCTCGGGTAAGTGAGGTTTTGGTTTTCTTTTCAGGTACCTGAGAAAGGATGAATTTCTTTCAGAAATTTATATTTTTTGGATAGTTGTTTTTATATCTCTCCCGGTTTTCTTTATTTATCCTACGTAAAAAATATTATCATATTTTTTCCTATGGATGATATTTGTTGCATGGGAGTTTCTACACACGCTATGGTTTAATATAATGGGAATCTACGTTTTGTGTGAGTTAGATAATTCTTTTGTTTTACTGGCTTAACAGTTGTCAAACTCTTACCAATTTCCTTAAGGTATTTGACATTTTAGACACTCCTGTTTACGTTTATAAAAACTGTTCATAGGATCAGATACGATTAGTGTTCTGCTTTTGTATGTAAAACGTTATATTCGAATTGGATCAACTACGGTTGGCGTTCTTCTTGTATATGGAAAAACTGCTATGTTTTAAATAGATCAACTAAGGTTAGAGTTTTGCTTTTCTATAGAAAATCGCCATGTTTGAATTACAACTAAAGCTGGAGCTTTGTTTTTATATGGAAATAAATTTTCTATCTGAATAGGATCAAATACGATTGGTGTTCTGCTTTTTGTATGAAAAAAGAGTATCTGATGTGTTCCTTCTTCCATACAGAAATGGTACTAACAAAACCTTTATGTAATGTGTAGGTATGCATAGATATTATATGATTAATCTGTGTTTTTATACGATATTCAAAAGTCTAAGGAAGATTAATCATCATAGATGACTATTGTTAAAGAGTGATAATTAGCAGCTGTTTTAGTAGGTTTAGAATATCGTTATAAGCTTACTTAAAACATCCTAAATATTGTGACGTTCTTTTTTCGTGAGTTGAACATTTTTGTTGATATTGTAATTCAATTCTAGTGCGTTGAACAATTTAACTTTTGTTATCTAGAATTTCTCTGAAGAATCGAAAACTAGAGACCAGATGACTTTTGAGTTCGCGAGTGTGTTAAGTGGTTAAATGTTTTAACTGACACAGTGCTTCGGAAACTAAGCTCTACGTTTCGTATCGTAGTTTATCAAAGATATTGCATCCATGTTAAAACTACTACACCTAACTCATTCATTACTTTCCAAAGTTTGATGATTGTTATGTTTGACAAAGAAGCCAAACATCGTCACAATACTTGGGAGGCTAGAACCACAGAAAATTAGGTTCTTTCTAGCTTCAACGTTAAAAAACAAAAGCTTAAAGTAATGATAACGATTTTTTTAGAATTCTAAAGTTTTATAAACATGAGCTTTAAAAGTTGTTAGTGTGATTTTCTTTAGATAAAATATACTGAGCGAGAAATATTTTATACAGTGTTTTTTTTTTTGACGTAGAGATTGGTTCATAAATCCATGTTTGTCATAGTAAATTGGTACAACTATTATCTGTATGAGTATTTTATAAGTCTTTCCGTTCATCAAGAAAAACCCTATTAAGTACTGCAGCAATCCAAAAGGCTTTAAAGAGTTGGTTGCACAAAAAGTTTTCGTCGATTATCCTAATAATCACGGAACTATGAAGTAATTTATTAAGCTGTTGATTAAGGATACTTTTATTCAAACATGAGATCCTTGACATACTTAATCTTGCTTTGTTGTTTTTACTTAAAACTTCAGTGTAAGACATAACTAGAAAACTGGATAGTCTGAGATTCTGTCGCAATGAAACGACAAAGCGTGTTTAGAAATTAAATCCAGCTTCATAAATCAAGTTAACACGAAGCTCCATGAGATGTCATTCTTTATCTTCTTAGCAGTATAGATTTAATTACCCAAAATAATCTTGATGTCTATATGTTATATATTCTATATGTTACATCTGTAAATGCTATGATATTCTGCAGACGTTACTTGTTCATCTGCTGACAAATATGCCACCTCATCCACGGTTCTGAATATGATATTTTTTTCAAATTTAATGGTTGAAGGAGCTGTAAAAAAAAATGAAACATTTTTTTTCTATCCTTACCAGCTATGTTTCCTCAAAGGAGTAGATACAGACATGTGACTAGCAACTTAAACACTCTGAACCCTTTCCATCTCGGGGGTTATTTATTAAGAGAGTAAAATCATATAAAAAATGCTCAGTAAAATACACGGAGAATCTAGCGGGATAGGTAAGTTTATCTTTCCTTCTTGGATATGTAAAATTGCTTGGCGACGATTAATTAAAACGTTAAAGTCTAGTGGATTATTAGAAGCTAGAAGTTTCCTTTCAGGGGCTAATTTTTCGGAGAGTATAAATATAGCGATTGATAATTAATATACACGTACACTGAGGTCTCAGTGGATTATGAATCTTCTTTTTTCAAGGACTCCTTTTGAGACTAGTGTTCGTCTTGTGATTGACAGTTAAAACACACTGAAGTGAACATGGGTGAAGAGAGTCTAAGACTCTCGTGACACCTGTGTATTCTTGAGCGTTTAGAATTGTTTTGTAATAATTAATTTAAACGTACTTTGAGTTTTAAATGATCCTTTACCTTACATATAAAAAGTATTTTCAAATGATTCTGTTTTCTAATACAGAGTATACCTAGATACTTCTTGAAAAAAACTTTTTTTTTTATTTTTACTAGCATTTTGGTCAATCCCAATAGATTCAGTCACTGCTTTAAATGAAGGTATACTACAAGTTCTGTTAGGGAAAAAAACTTTATTGGTCTCTTGAAAAAAACGCGCACTTCTGCTTCTGTTTCGTATATACTAAGTTATACTTTGTACTTTAAACAATTTTACACTGAAACATTAAAAATTACCAAAATATACATTTAAGGTCGTATATTTTGAAAAAATGTACCGTTATGTATTTTTTCATTTATTTAATTAACGAGAAGACAAAATTTAGTAATTTATTGACACAGCGAGCACGTTCTTTATTCTTTTTATGGGCTTATAATTTAACAAGTTTTCTTTCATTTCAGAAGTATCAAAATGTTTCTACGTCCATTATCATGCTAATTGTTTCTATTTATATATTTATCCACTGGTTCAGTGGTAAGTTTACGGACTTACAACGCTAAAATTCGGGGCTAGATTCCAAGCAGATATCCCATTGCGAAGCTTTGCGCTAGAAGGAAATGATCAATCAATTTATATAAATAATTAGACAAAATGTCTTTCAAAAAATGCGACTGGTAAAATGTAAAGTTATACTCTTTTAAATGCATATATATATATATCAAGTAGTGTTAGGAATTTAGAATTGCATCAGATACTTCACAACACAAAACAGTGCTTAATCAATACTTCAGAACATCTGTGCTTTCACCAATACTTGTGTGTGATTATTCCAAAACATTGACAATTTTATTGTTTTTAATAACACTTGAAACTTCATGATGTAAAGTCACTCTTTAACCCCGAGGTAGTAGTCGCTTATTTGTTTTTGGTCTTCTTAGTCATAAAATCGAGAAAATGTCGACAGAACCTATCACAACTTCTGAAATGAATGTCAGCCATATTATACCTGACCAGCAGGCCAACTGACCTTTTCACCATATATTTCACAACGTAATCCGTTTTTCGAGGGATATCTTAGATAAAACAGGAAAAATCATTAAACCTTTTGTGAATTTTTCATTTATAAAGATTTTATTAATAAGGCGCGAAAAATGTTTCTTTTGGAAAACTGACCAATGGTTGTTGTTATTATACTTTTTTAATATTCCTACAAACCTATAAAAAGATTTCAAAATTTGACACATATTGCGATAAAAAAAAAGGGAAGTACTACTCAAACTAGATGAACTCAAATTCAGTGTTGTAATCCATAGTACTTTCATCGGATTCTAATAGTACGTTTAAGTCTCCAACTGTCAAATCACAATCATCGCTGTCAAGGTTCAGGTTCATCTCTAATGGGTCGATTGATAGTGATAATCCGCCCACAGCCTCCTGCTTTTCATTAGCATCACTTTTGTGCAAAACATCTGACAAAGCAGCGATATAGTGAACAGCCAGCTGGAGCGTTTTGATCTTCGTCAGCTTAGAGCTCACGCTGGGGAACTTTGGAATCGCTAGACGAAGTTGCTCGAAGGCTTGATTCATTTTATCCATTCTAAACCTTTCCCGTGCATTGGCTGTGCGCCTGCGATACTTGCTTAAGGGTGGTGGCTTCTGTTTAAGCTTAGGTTCCTTTTTGTTGAATCTCTTGTTTTCTATTTCTTTCCTATTTTGAATCGAACGCGGACGTAATTTGTATTTTATCTCTCTAGATTCTCCCTCTGGTTTAAGTTGCTGATTTTGTTCATTAGTTTTGTCCGATGTACTTATTCTATTTTCTTGTGTAACAGCGGAAGTGTTGGACAATGTTGGTGACAAAGATTGGTTATCTTCCAGAGATCTTGTTTGATGTATACACTTCTTAGCTGACACTTCTTCGATACTTCCATAGCTGTTTTGTAAGCTACTAAAATCGCTGTAATTGAAGGCAGTACCAAGACTGAGTAAAGATTCCCAACTATTTGGGTCGAAGTAACCAACAGACATTGCAAATGTCCTTTTAGAATTTATAAACTAATAATCGACTTGTGGAAAGATGAAAGGACATTCTTCTGAATTAAACATCGAACGCCATTTTTTTACTTCATCCAAGTCTGAAAATCTTTAAGGAACACCTAAAAGAAAAGAAAATCGTTAAGGGACGTATATTATATATAAACTACAATATTTTACTGAATACGACAATGACGTCATCAAGTACTTGAATACATTAGGTCATGATAGTCCGAAAAAAATTGATAGTTCGTTTGAAGTTAAGCACAAAGCTACACAATGGGGTATCTGTGCTCTGCCCCCACGGGTATCGAAACCCGGTTTCTAGCATTGTAAGTCCGCAGACATACCGCTGTGCCACTGGAGGGGGGCGTAAATTGATAGTATGTAACGCAAAGTATTGACGCCTCAATGCTTCTCTACGTAGTTTGGTCTAGTTGTAACGTTTTAAAGCAAACTTACTGACAGAAAACATTATGTATGATTTTTTAGTAGTTACCGAAACTTCCCATGATATAAGCTCTAAAGAAAATAACGAAACTAATTTTTTTATCTAATTTTATTTTGTATTTGCTCGCAATATCTACTAGAGTTTACAAAATAATAACTACATTTGTTAGTTTTTTGTTGAGTTGACACACTTTTCAGATTTAAATTAAAAGACTATTTGTAAGTGCTCCAAGTAAATAAGATTGAAGAAAGTGTCTTTAAACAATGTTAAAAAGTATGGATTCATGTTAATCTTCCAAATGTTTAATTGTTCTCTGTATTATGCTACTGAATGCAAAGTAAATCAACTTTTCATTATAAACAATTAGGTAGTTTAAAAAAAAGACCTTTCTCATGTAAGTTAGTATTTAACATATCATCTATATATTTTGAAGAAAAAAAAACTATTATAAGTACGGTACAGAATAAGAAAAAGTGTACAAATACTTTGTTAAAGAAAATGATCGAATTAAAATGCAGCAAAAGTCTTGCAAGGTAGTAAGCAATAATTGTTCTGTGACATGGTCTTCAAAAGTAAAAAAATCATACATACTTATATATGTATTAGTATATACGTATGACGTTTCTACTTGATTAATGACACGTTGTTTCCATTTATACTCACGACTGTGTTTTCTATACTGAAAACTTTAAATGTATTTACCAATAACAACATTTATTTATCCAAAAAGATAAAGAGACATTAAAAATGTCTAAGATGTATTCTAAATGGTTATTGGTAATGCCAGTAAAGTTTATATATTAGCCATGCTAATAACGTTTAAGTTGAAATGAAAATTAAAGTACTTACGAAGTCGACACATACTTTTACTTGATCAATTCAATGTTCGTTTCAGAATAATACTGAAAACTTCACTTACTTTGATCCACTGTATAGAGCATTAATCCTTTAACTCTGAGGCTTTTGAACATTGCTGTCTTTCATAAGAAATTAACTTTTCATGACTTTGTATTATTCATCGGAAAGGACGTTAAACAACAGCTCTTAAAAAAGTAAGTTTATTTTCTTCCACTAGATGGCTTTTTTTTTTGCTACAATAGTGGACCCAGAAGACTGTTTCTATTAGCACGCCACGGAAATATAAAAGTAATAATTCACGTCATCGTCTGATACTCCACTTGTGCCATCTAACTACTCGTTTAGTTAACACACCGCTTATACAGGCGACACGTTACTTAGAAGCCAATCAGAGATTAGCTATGTTGTTACGTCATTATAACGTTTACCTGTCGCTTACGTTTTAAAACGGTATTGTAATTAGGCAATGAAACCTATTAACACAGTTAACCGAGAAGGAACATTTTTGTTACTTCCTTAAAGTTATTAAAATATAATTTTGTTATCGCTAGAAATAAATAAATCGCTAGGTAAATTTCAACCGTTTACTTACTAAAATTTAACTATTATAAAAAGAAAAAATAACAAAACAAGAGTAAATATAACATTTACTTATTGTTATAGTTCGATAATCGAAAGCATTAATATTATATTAAAACTCAAATTATATTAATCTAACATATACAATAAATTTGCATGAAATACTTAAATGCTGCCCGTCTAAAATGAAGCTAGTTATTTTCTATGTAAAATCAAATGAGTTACTGACTTTATCTCAATTTGTTTTCGTTTCCTATTAATATTTATGTTAATATGACAGTATCTGAGAACTGTGCATTAGCAAACACTTAAATATTAGTATTTCAAGACAATTTTAGATTTAGTGATAATAAAAAATGATGAATCAAAATGGCATAAAAACGTGATATTGTATTTAATATTGTTTTAAATTGTAACGGAACTTTTTAAATGTCTCTTCTCCAACATAATGAATTTTTTGGAAACGTAAATTGCCAAGTATGTTACCGTATTACCCCTAATTAACGCCTCGAGGTCGTTGCAAACTGCAAAGGGGGCGCTAATTATAGTACTTGTGCAGTTGCGGATTCTATTTGTCTCATGTGATTTGTTAATTTCAGTGCTAATAAGTGTGTGTGTATATTTGTTTTTCTTCTTTTGTTTTCCAAATCAACATTACGGTATTAAAAGTGGATTATATGTTGGATTGCTATTGCTTTCACACAAGGTAAGCTTTATAAAAATACCGAGGGGCGTTAATTAGGGGCAGTACGGTATTTTTCAACCAACAAGTTTTAATAGAAGCACAATACATTACATAGTAGTTGGTGAACAGTATTCGTAAAGGTAAACGTACTGGAACAACGAACGAAAACTAACTGAAGCCAAAGAGAGGCAAAGTATACGTATTATTGTTCTAAACACAACCTTTTATAAGGATTTCATATAAACAAAGTACGTCTTTCTCTCGTTTACGTACTCGAAAACACTTACTAGTCTTTAAACGATACAAATAAAACAGAAAAGCGCAATGACATTAAAACATAATATAGAATATTTACAATGACAATAAAACTTGTAAAAGGTTATTATTGCTCGATAGATTGACAGAAGATATGTTGTAATACGTCCGATTTCTCTAAAGCCAGAGTTCTGTAAATTTTGTGGTAAGACATTATAAAGGAAATGCATTCCTTTCTCATTTTCGCTGAAGTACCAACAGACGAAAAAATTGTAAATACAGAAATTGAAGACGTAAATAGATCTGAAGGACGGGAATTTGGAAAACATTATTACTTTGTATTCTTTTCTATCAATCAAAACGAGTGTGGATGTTTTTATAAAAAGGAAGAGTATTTGTTTTGCATTATCGAAACTGCCATTATTTAAACATGATAGATAAGCTGCTAATGTGTTATTCTAGTTAACAATAACATAACTCTACCTCGTGTTTAGTATACCCGGAATATAAATGCGAGGGTTCTGTGTTCGTGTTCCGTTTCCGGAAATTGCGCTCCGCACTTAAGGGGCCGTGTGTGCGTTAAAAGAATGACGATCAAATCCTACTATTCGAATAATGCAGCTCAAAAGTTGGCGGTGGGTGCTGTTAACTGCCTTCTGACGGCTAGTGAGGATAGACTTTGAGTAGGTTTGAGCGAATATTAGAAGTGAAACGCTCTTTCTGTTTGGAGGGTATTGTTTCCACTTTGTGTTTTTTCATTATTTGTCTGAACTAACAAAATCGTATTCGTTTTACGAACTCAGCTGTTTTACGTAAATAACTATACCCTAAAATAAAATCCTAGCTTAAAGCGAAGTGTTTTTTCTTTGTCTTCTGATGTATCCTAGTGGTTCAACGCTAAAAATAACGTATCGATACCCGCAGTGGGCAAAACACAGATAGCCCGTTATGCAGCTTTGTTCTTAAAAACAAACAACCAAACACAATCTTTTAAAAAAGTTGATATTACTTATTCTTTAAAACTGTAAATACACAACTCTTTAATCATCTGTCAGAAAAAGTTATGGTTCAAATACTCCCGTGGTCATCTATTAGAATAAGATAGGGTTTACACAGTCCCGCAATCATCTGTTAGAATAAGATATGGTTTACACAGTTCCGCAATCATCTGTTAGAATAAGATATGGTTTACACAGTCTTGTAACCATTTGTTAGAGTAAGGTGTGGGTTACACAGTCCTGCAATCATCTGTTAGAATAAGATATGGTTTACACAGTCCCGCAATCATCTGTTCGAATAAGATATGGTTTACACAGTCTTGCAACCATTTATTAGAGTAATGTGTGGGTTACACAGTCCCGCAATCATCTGTTAGAATAAGATATGGTTTACACAGTTCCGCAATCATCTGTTAGAATAAGATATGGTTTACACAGTCCCGTAGTGACCTGTTAGAAAGATCTGATTTACGTAGTTCTGTAACCATAAGTTACAGTAAAATATGGTTTGAACTTCTTTCTGCTAATTAGATATTGAAAGATGGGTTTAATTAATGATGTATGTATAAAAATGTTCAAGAGAAAACAAAACATAATCTACGCTTTTATTTAACGCGTTTTTTTTCTACTACACGTTTTCACACCAATTGATTGTAAAAGTGTAAGATTCAAATAGTAAATTATTATGTTTTGTGTACTCAATTTTATTTCTCCCTGTTTGAATGACATTTTACGATAGCTGAAACAAATAACAATTCATGTATTTTATTTGCTCAAAATATTTCATTGTTTTTAACCTTAAATTTGGGAATTACACAGGCCCTGATTTGGTGATAAATCTCGAGCATGTAACATCCTAAAAGTTTCGAATTTACTATGAGAATGCTAGAAAGAGTGCTGTGAATTAAGGTTTTCATACCGTGATTTAAGACAAAACGCCCGTAACTTTTTTTTTTTTCACTGGGAAGTTATTCAACTTTATTTTGCCCTATCTTTGACCAATATCTTCTATTTTCTGGGTAAAAAGTAGATTGCTTTTCTCAGTGCTATTTCCTATTATATAGCGTAGAAATCGAAGGTAGAACATTAATGAAACATGATAAAACGATGTTATGCCTCGTGTTACTTTCAACTGCAAAGGGGAAAGGTGTTTCAAGTACAATAAATGCAATCTATATGAGTGTTACCACGAAGAGATGTCCATTGAAAGAAAGTTATCGAGGAAAAAAGGCAAAGAAAGTTTCCAAATCAGAATACAAGGAAAACTATAATTGAAAAAAAGGAAAACTTCTGCTTTGAAGGCAAAAAGCTACAGTTGTCTTGGGAACTGAAGATGGTGATTTATATTTTAATGGATCTCATCTTAAAGCTCATCTGTTTTTCCTCTTGCTAAAACATTTTATTAAGATCATCTTGTCTACTTCTTCTCTTACTTCTCTTATTAAATATTTCTTTTTTTTGTACTGAAATATTTATGTTTATAGCCAAATTTATACCAAAAATAGTTGTACAATTAAATTGGAAATTCAAATCGAGCAGGACATAATAGCTAGCGTGCCGGGCTGCGTACCTGAAGTTTCGTACTTCACGTCTCGTTACCTTAAAATTTTAGGGCCGTAGGTGCGTTTATCATAAATTTGCCGGTCAAATCCCATTATTGGCATTGGGTGGTTTTGATATCTTTGTGCAAAATTCGTCAAAAACAAAACGTTTGCCAATTTAAATTATGTATGTTAATTTTAAATAATTTTGGTATAAGTGTATTTAATGCTATTTATATGGGGCACATTTGTGAGTACTTCAACTTTCTTTAGATCCCGGAAAAATAACATTATTTCTTAAGGCCTGATATTTTCAGAACACGCTGCGTTTTACATAATATCACTGTATTTTAATATTAAGCCCAACCTGAGTCAAAATTTGTTTTCGCCAGGAGACTATAATTTGAAACTCTATAGAACAAGCTTTTGGAATATAACGCCATCCTATCTATGTAAATGAGTGTACTTATAGACACGTAAAAATTGTAAATCGCTACAAACACCTGGAAAAGTTTTAATAATAGATAAACACTTATGAATTTAGGAATAAGTGACTGCCATATGGCATTGGGAACATGATGTTTGATTCCTGTGAAATTTCGTTTCATTTCGCATTGAAGACTATTTTTTTCTTCAAGTTTTTACTGTGCTGCCTTCCTGTAGGTTTGTTCATAATCATTAATCTCTCTGACCACGTAGACCAAGAGATATTATTAACCATTTGAATAATTACTGATGAATCTATTAACAGCTTTTATTGGATAATTTATTATACTATGTAATGAAATTAATTAGGGTGATTCTTAATTAATTATCGGGCGTGTCGTTTTAAATTTACTTGCTAATTACAGAATATTTTATTAGCCCAAACGGTAACCACCAGTTTGGAAAATAAATTTAATATTTAATTGATTATATCACATGTCTATTGAATATCTTTAACAATTAGTTTTTTGGGTTTTTTTACGTATTTAAACATATATTCTTAGTATCATGTAGAGACCTCATAAAGCAATATCGTTAAACATAAATAGTATATCTCTAGATCGGTTGGGTAGATTAGTAAGAAAACTGATATTATAACTCAAGGAGTCATAATTTTTCTCGGAAAGGATTGTAGAATAAGTGACTTTGACTCAGAAAATGTACACACTGTCATAGGCTGGGG